CTCTGCAGGGGCTCCTTCCCCACCCCTCCTCCTCCTCCTTCCTCTTCTTTTCCTCCTTCTTCTTTTCCCAGAATCCCAGGGGCTCATACAGTGAGCCAGATGAGAGAAGCCTCTCCTTGCCTCTGCTTGGCTGCAATGTATCAGAAGCCGCTCTGATCTCCTGTGTCATTGGGACGATCAGGGGACGGTGAGGCTGAGGGCCTCTTGGGGGCTGCAAAGGTGGCTTTGTTGTGGCAGCATCCTCCCTCATGTAGCTCAGGGAAGAGCCCTTCCCAGACACCAGACACAACCAATTCCTCCATCTATTCATTAAAGTGCAATTACACACATAAGTTCCTTTTAAAACATACATATTTCTGTTGCTAGCAGACAATCCTGCTGGTAAAGTCACACTTTGAAAGAGAATAAACAAAGTGGGCTGCAAGGAAGGAAAGAGCTTTGGAAATGAGTGGGTGGAGGAGCTACATGGAGGAGCACAAGAGCAAGGGAGGAGACGATCCTGGAAGGGAAGGAGCCCTTTCACCTGTACAACACCAAGCCATTGTAGAGGAAAGGCCCGTAGTTGTTCTATTGGACTTCTGTCCCTACTTACTCTCAAGAGGGGATTCCAGGTCCCTTGGGTGTTGGTGGAAACCTGCCAGTTGATGTTCAGAACCTCATCATGGCCTTCATGATGTTACTGGCTGGCAGGGCCTGATGGGAACTGCAATCCAGTATCATCTGGAAGGTCACACAGTCCATTGAAGTAAATGGTCTCAGAGCGAACACCACAAGAATTCTCCTTTTGAGTCCAATCTGGGCCTGGCTGTGTTGGCTCCATGGTACATTAGTTGCTCCACAGGGCTCCACAGTCACCTACGGATCCACCAGAAAACTGATCCTGGAAGACTATCCTACTCGGCCAACGAGGAATCGCCTAAGTAAGTAAGTACATTAGGTGCATCCACCTTCTTCCTCTGAGGGCCAAAGAGATGATTGGGACACTTTTTTAGTGCTTTGCAGAAACCAGAAATGATTTTTTGGTTGATGGTGGAAGACAGAAGCTGGATGGCCATCTGTCAGGGATGCTTTGAAGGCAATTTTCCTGCTTCTTGGCAGGGGGTTAGACTGGGTGGCCCATGAGGTCTCTTTCAACTCTATAATTCTATGATTCTATGACTGGCACATTGAATGGCTGGGCCAGGGCTCCCTTTTCAGGATAGCTAAGTGATGGCAGAAAAGAAAGAGAAAGAAAGAAGAAGGGAAAGTCTGAAAGGGAGGGGGAGAGAGAGGAAGAAAGGGGGAGGGAAGAGGGCCCCCCATCTGGCAGATTCTCACCAGGTGTCGGACACGGACACCTTTTGTTCTCCCGAGCCTTTTTATTGCATGATTTATCTCATCCCTGCTGTTTCTCTGTAGTTATTGCTGTGTTTTGCAATATTTAGTAGCTATTGTTTTGATGTTAAACACAGATTTTCTTTATCTTTTTTGATGTGTTAACTGCCTTGGAAGCCTCTGTTGGAAACACTGGGGGGTGGAGTCCTTTAAAAATAAGTGAATGCTTCCACCAAAGTGGCACAAAAGGGCCTTTAGGACCCAGCCTTTCCATGACAGGGGTCAAGTTGAACCATGGAGAAGGCCTTGGGATGGGAGGGGGGGGGGTTCCTAATGTTTGTCAAGACATTTGGTGAATCCACTCTGAGTTTTGGTCTGTACTTCAAAAGCGGTATCTATATGTTGTCAAAGGCTTTCATGGCCGGAATCACTGGGTTGCTGTGAGTTTTTTGGGATGTATGGAAATGTTCCAGTAGCATTTTCTCATGATATTTTGCCTGAATCTGTGGTTGGCATCTACAGATGTCTGTTGTAAATGAGGCAAATGCAGTGTATGTGTGAGTGTGTGTGAGTGTGTGTGTATCTGTGGAATGTTCAGGGTTGGAGAAAGAACCCTTGTCTGCTTAAAGCAAGTGTGAATGTTTCAATTAGCCAACTTGAATAGCATTGAGTAGACATGAAGCTGCAAAGTCAACTTCCATCCTCTGATACCCTCTACAGATACCCTCACTGATTGACTTTGTAAACTTCATGGCTACTCAATGCTAATCAGCTTACTAATTTCAACATTGACAGTTGCTGCAAACAAACAATGGGTTCTTTCTCCCACCCTGAACATTCCACAGATACACACACACACACATGCACCACTTGCCTCACTTCCAGCAGACCTCTGAAAATGCCAGTCACAGATGTAGGTGAAGCATCAGAAGAGAATGCTACAGGAACATGGCCATACAGCCTGAAAAACTCACAGCAACCCAGAGATATCTATAGTTTGAGGACAGAGTTCAGCCTCATGGAGATCACTTAAGAGCCGAAACTTTTTTTCCCTGTGTCAGGAACGACTTGAGAAACTGCAAGTTGCTTCTGGTATGCGAGAATTGGCCATTTGCAAGGACGTTGCCCAAGGGACGCCTGGATTTTCATTGTGGGAGGCTTCCCTCATGTCCCCGCATACGGAGCTGGAGCTGACAGAGGGAGCTCATCCATGCTCTCTCCAGATTCGAACCTCCTACCTATTGGTCTTTAGCACAAGGGTTTAACATACTGCACCACCGGGGGCTTTAGAGTTGGAAGTAAAACCCAGAAAGAGAACTGATTTGCATTTGAATGGATCTCTCCATGTCTTTGGTGGCTGGAGTTCAGCACCTTGGAGAGCTCCCCAGAACTCCAAGTTTGTCTGCCTTTTAGAAGAACTCTCCCAGGTCCTGAGACCCAATTCCTAAACTCAGCAACATGGAAGAGGACCCCAGGGACCCCAGTAATCTCCTCCCCTCCATGTAGCCCCCGTCCCAAATAAGAAGAGCTTTGTTGGGTGGTGTTTTGGTATCCGTTCCTCTCCAGGAGCAGCAGATGGGGAGCCGGATGATGTTCCTTTGCAAAGCCCTTTATGAGCCGTGTTTAAGGTTGGTTAAAGCCCCCCGGGGAATTAGCGCAATATGCACCCATTACGGTGCGGCAGCTGCTGCCGGGCTCCTGCCGTTGCTTATTCAAAGGGATTGGAGGCCACGCTTTGGTGGCAGGGCTTTGGAGAGATTAAAATTATTTTCAGCATTAAGCACAACATTTCAATGTTAATGCTCTCGGTCTTGAATATGGATTCGGAGACCAGAAAGAGATTTACAAGACATTACAGCGATGCAAATTCCACCAGAAAGTGGGTTCCCCCTCTCCCTCTCCCCCTGCTTCCTTTCTTTCTTTTCTGTTGAGCAAATTCAACAAGAGATTTGACTCCGGGGCTTACAGCAAATAGACTTTGGTTTTCATGCAGATTGCTGCCTTTAATGGTGGGCCGGCTCAATCCCCTTAGATTCCTCACCCAGCTGCCTGGGATGCATATGCGGAGGGCACTGCCATTGAGAAAAGCCAGGCAATTACGGAGGCAGAACATGAGACGCGCAAGCCAGGAGAATGAGGCGGGATGGGGGTCCCTTTCCTTTGGGTCTCGAGTTTTTGTTTTTGTTTTGTGTGTGTGTGTGTGTCAGAAGTGACTTGAGAAATTCGAAGTCGCTTCTGGTGTGAGAAAATTGGCCATCTGCAAGGGCATTGTCCAGGGGACGCCTTGATGTTTTGATGTTTTTACCATCCTTATGGGAGGCTTCCCTCATGTTCCTGCATGGAGAGCTGAAGCTGACAGAGGGAGCTCATCTGCGCTCTCCCCGGATTTGAACCTAGACCTCTCAATCTTCACTCCTGCCAGCACAAGGATATAAACCACTGCACTACCAGGGGCTCCTGGGTCTCCGGTGGGAGCAGAGGGTTTCCCCTCTTTGTAGGATGCCACCCAGAGACCCTTACCCACTCCTTTGGAAACCCTTGGCATTGATCTCTGCAGGCCAGAAAACTCTTCCCTCTCCTTGTTTTTTTTTCCATTTGGGACAATGCTGTAATGAGAACCAATGCAGGGCTAAGTTGAGTACTGGACTAAGGTACAAGTTCCTGCTCAGCAATGGAAACCTACTGGGCAAGGCACACTGTCTCATCCTCAGAGGAGGCAAAGGCAACTATCTCTGGGCAGTTCTTGTCAGGAAAGCCCCATGAGAGGGTTACCTTAGGTTTGCCATAAGTCAGAATTGACATGAAGGCTGGGAATTACAATAGCCCTGTTCCCAGGAAGAGAAACAAGCACAAGGTTAGGCTATGCATGCAGTAGGTGAAAGGATAAACAGGATAATCTGGGTTTGAAGGTGCAACAAAATGTAGCGGGATGGAAGTTGATTTCCATGGGCCACAGTAAGGGAGGGGCAGCTGGACTCCCACCAAGACCCCACAAGGAGGGGTCCAAAGGGTCCCTGTGTGGCTCCTTCCTCAGTGGCTACTGAGGCCGTCTCACTTGCCGCTGGTTCCAAAGCCCAAGGGGCAGAAGAACCTTCCTCCTTCGCTCCTTCCCAGCTTCTCCTCCTCCTTCCTCCTGGCAAAGGAAGGAAGGAAACGCTTCTTGCCTGGGAACCTCAAAACCCGCCGGCAGTTAATTATTGACGGAGCGTGTGAATTAGAGATAAAAGAAAAGTCATCCCTCCTTGCGCACAAGATAGTAAATAAATTTAATTATAGGACAAGAGGCAAGGGATCTCTCTCTCTCTCTCTCTCTGTATTAAGTTTTATTAGCGGAGACATTTAAAAGCATGTCATCATAACAAAAAGGGCTTGTGTAATCCTAAACGTACCACTTTGGTACAAGGCTCCAAAGTGAATAGACTTAATTGAGCAGATGGCGGCCTGCTCAGGCAGGTATGGGACAGGTTTATTGTCAATTAACTTTTGACTACATATGCTTTTGGCAAACGGGCAGTGTAGCGGCTCCCAGGGACCAGTGTTAATGCCCACAAGGTGACCGGGGCCAGGTGGCATATGGCAATGGTAGCCTGAAAGCCCTGCCAGGGTTTCTGTGACACTCAGCCAAAGCTGGCCCATTGGGGAGACAAAGGGAATCTGCAGTCTCTGACCAATCTCTCTGTCTACAGGGACTTGATGCCCAGGACGGTGGAGGGGCAGCTGACCATGGAGAAGACCCCCAGCTACTTTGTCACCAGTGAGGCTCCCCAGCGCATCCATGCCATGGCCAAGGACACCAAGCTGGTGGTGGTGGTGCGGGACCCTGTCACGCGGGCCATCTCGGACTACACACAGACCCTCTCCAAGAAGCCCGAGATCCCCACCTTTGAGGTGCTGGCCTTCAAGAACCGGACCCTGGGTCTCATTGACGCCTCCTGGAGCGCAATCCGCATTGGAATCTATGCCCTGCACCTAGAGAGCTGGCTGCAGTACTTCCCGCTCTCCCAGATCCACTTTGTCAGCGGCGAGCAGCTAATCTCTGACCCAGCTGGAGAGATGGCCAAGGTGCAGGACTTCCTGGGCCTGAGGCGCGTGGTTACCCAGGCCTACTTCCACTTCAACAGCACCAAGGGCTTCCCCTGCCTCCGGCGGCCCGAGGACGGTGCCTCTGCTCCCCGCTGCCTGGGCAAATCCAAGGGTCGGACCCACCCCAAGATTGACCCTGAGGTCATCCGCCGCCTACGCAAATTCTACAAGCCCTTCAACGTCATGTTCTACCAAATGACTGGCCAGGATTTCCAGTGGGAGCAGGAAGACGGCGAGAAGTGAGGACCTCCAGGCTGCAAAGGAGACTCCTCTCCAGAGGTAAGACCTTTGGACACTTCCCAAATCATCCCCACTGAGGATCCAGGAGGAGAGACAGGGCTTCAGAAGACCCAAGGCTGGCTGGCCTTTTATTAAACTCTGTTTCCATTCTTGTTGTTTCTGTTCTCAGTTTCCCCAAAGGCAGACTAGAAAGCCATACCCACCTCTGTCCATTTGGGTGCTATCCTCAGGTTGGGACCCAAGCAGAACCCTACTGCTACCTGTTCCTATCTCTCTTGGCCCAGTCTAATTTTGGGCAACTACGGCCCCCTTTTTCTCATCCAGAACCACAGAGGCGCAAAGAGCATCCATCATCCTCAGAAGACTCAATGCCGGAAATGCCACCAAAATCCAGTAACAAGGCAGCCCTCCCCCCACAATGGTGTGGGGAGGGGTCTCTTGTTCCCCGTTTGGGGGGGGGCTCTCCACCAGGCGTGGGGCGCTAAATGCATTTGTCAAATATGGCAGGAGGCCGGCCGCAGGGCAGGAGCGTTTGTTTCCGCCGAAGTAAATGTCAGCTCCTATTAGCTCAATTAGGTGTAAAGCCAGGCTCTGACATAAAACACTCTCCTTCTCCCCCCCACAACGGCCCCCTCCCCACTTTCACAGAATTATTACTACATGAAAATTGGAAGTATGCACCAGGGCTGGCTTTAAATTGTTTCACATGTTATTAAACTGTCATTTCCTTTGCTTAAATGAGAACCACGTTATGAAGTTTAATTCACAATGATTAATGAATCCAGGTGGAGGAGGGTTTTTTTTAAAGGAAATAATTGCCAATGGCAAGGCTCCGTGTTGAGTCCAAGGTTTCCTTGGGAAAAGAGTCCATTTGGCTTCAGCCAAGGAGAGAGGAGACCCAGGCTTGCCAAGGGAGGGGACCCCCCCCCCCGAGTGCCATGTTGATGCCCCCAATGCATGGGTCCAAGGGGAAAGGGTGGGAGCCATGCAACAAAGGGGGGCTGGGAGGTCTCTTCTATTTCTCCTCTACCTCAGCTGCCTCTCTCTTTCCCTTCCAGGGATTCCCCCAAAGAAGGGGAAGGGGTCCTTCCTCCTGACCCAGGATCCAGGACTACGATGCTTCTGCTGCCATGATTGAGGGGTTGTTTTCTTGAAGGATTGTGGTTGCCAAGGGGGCAAAGGACATCTCCCCCACTGACCCTTGATCCCCTGCCTGCCTCCTTCCTTGGACCCTGGAGCCGGAGGGCAAAGCCAAGGGAAGGGCTCTATGGTAGAGCTGAGCCCCAGCGAATGAGAAGAGGAGGAAGAAGAAGAAGGAGAAGCAAGGCCCTTTGGGGCCATGACCCACTCCGTGCTGCTATCAGTGGGAGTGAGGAAGATGAAGGAAGGGAGAGGAAGAAGAGCCAAGCCATTTCACCCATCCTGCTGCTGCACCATATTTTCAGAGGTTTATTTTTGATACGGGTTGAACTCTGGACATGGGAAGCAAGGCTCTGGAAACCAAAGGGGTCTCTCCAATGCAGTCCCTGCTCAGTGCCAAGGGACACTCTGAATCCCTCCATCCTGATTTGCCTCCCTAACACAAAGTGTGGAGCTGGTGTGCTGATCTCTTGCCCTCTAAATGGTAGGAACCGGTCCCTGTTCCAGGAGGCGGGAGAGTCCTCCATCCAGAGAGAAGCCAAGCAGCTCCCCCATAGCAAGACCCGCGGAGCATGGGGTGCATTGACCCCCCCTGGGACCCCCGCCCATTTCTGACCCCTTCCCACAGTGTCCCACTTGCTGCTTTTGTGCCCCAAGGACCCTGCCGGTCTTTGGAATAAGTCATCGTCTCAGAAAGCATTCGGCTAGATTTTGTTTTGCGCCTCCCCTCTCTTTAAATGTCAGCACTCTCAGCACGCAGGAGATTGAATTTTTATATTTGATTTCAATTAGCAAAGCATAAATTATATTTAATTTTCTACACACAGAGACCGGATGAGTCATTGTCCTGGAAAGCCAGGGATATTATTATTATTGTTGTTCAGAGACTGACAATGGAAAGGAGTTCTGGGGCTTTGGGCTCAGTGGCCGGGAGGGGAAAGGGGGCCTCCATCTACACCCCGGATCCAGAGGGAGAGGCGAAGGATGGAAGCGCAGGCCGAGGAGACAAACCACACAGAAACAATAAAAACTCCTAACAGCAGCGGCTGCAGACTGACTCCCTTCTCTTTGTTTGTTGAGATGCGAATCAAGGAAGAGGACAAGGACTAAATTGGGCAGACCCAAGATTAGCTAGCAGGGGCACCATTTCCACCCCAAAGTGCAAGCTGATAGGGAGCCATGAAGGAGGAGCTCCTCCGCAGCTCTCTTGCTTGCTGGCGCAGTGGGTTTAAACCCTTGGGCCAGCAGGACTAAAGACTGACAGGCTGAAGATTTGAATCTGGGGAGAGCACAATGAGCTCCCTCTGTCAGCTCCAGCTCCCCATGTGGGGTCTGAGAGCAGCCTCCTATAAGGATGGTAACACATCAAAAACATCTGAGTGTCCCCTGGGCAAACATCCTTGCAGACAGCCAATTCTCCCACACCAGAAGGGATTTGCAGTTTCTCAGGTTGCTCCTGACACAGAAAAAGAAATTCAGTGGGAGGTAAAGCTGTTTCACCTCCTTTAATGGCCCCAATTTATAATGGAGCCAAAAAGTGGAGATTCAGCCAGTCCTGGCCTCCTGTTGTTGAAGGCTTTCATAGCCGAAATCATTGGGTTGCTGTGAGTTTTTTGGGCTTTATAGCCATGTTCCAGCAGCATTATCTCCTGATGCTTCACCTGCATATGTGGCTAATGGCATTTTCAGAGGTTCTGTTGGCAGTGAAGCAAGTGGAGTGTATATAAGTGGAGTGTGGAAGGTTCATGGGAGGGACCTTGTCTGTTTAAAGAATCCTTGTCTGTTTAAAGCAAGTGTGAGTGTTGTAATTAGCAATCTTGAATAGCATTGAGTGACCTTGCAGCTGCAAAGTCAATCGGTGAGGGTATCTGCATAGAGGTAGCCTGGTCTCTGTTGTTGCCTGGAGGCATCCTCTGTTTGGGAGGATAGATAGATAGATAGATAGATAGATAGATAGATAGATAGATAGATAGATAGATAGATGATAGATAGATAGATAGATAGATAGATAGATAGATAGATAGATAGATAGAGATATATATTTATATTCTCCCTCCCCCCCCCCTTCTTCACTGCCAACAGAAAGAGTCCCCGATGGCGCAGTGGGTCAAACCCTTGTGCCAGCAGTACTGAAGACCAACAGGTTGAAGGTTCGAATCCAGGGAGAGCACGGATGGGCTCTCTCTGTCATTTCCCGCTCTCCATGTGGGGACATGAGAGAAGCCTCTCACAAGGATGGTAAAACTTAAAAACATCAGAGCATCCCCTGGGCAATGTCTTTTCAGACGGCCAATTCTCTCACACCAGAAGCAACTTGCAGCTTCTCAAGTCACTCCTGACACAAAACAAAAACCTGCCAACAGAACCTGTGAAGATACTTGCCACAGATGCAGGTGAAACATCAGGAGAGAATGCTACTGGAACATAGCATAAAACCCAAAAAACTGAGAACTATCCAGTCCTGGCCTTCTCAAGCCTTCTCTGAGTTGCCAAAGTTGCCACCATTAAACAAAGGTTTAGAGGGCCACTTTCTTCCCCTTCCGCATTGATCCTTATCTCTGATTAGCGCTGGATGGAGAGAAGAGCCTTCCTTTCGGGGCTCGTTTTTCAGCAAAGAGCAGCAAAGGCTCCCACTTCAAAGCTGTCCTTATGAAAGAAAGGAGAGTGCTGGGCAGGGTTCATGTGCGGACATGAGTGTGTGCGTGTGTGTTGGTGGGATATGGAATGATGATGGAGATGTGGATGCATTTGGAAGAGGTTTTATTTTATTGTAATTTTCTGTTTGGGCTTGGCCTCATGTAAGCCGCTCCGAGTCCCCATTGGGGAGCTGGTGGCGGTCTATAAATAAAGATTATTATTATTATTATTATTATTATTATTATTATTATTATTATTATTATTATTACAAAGAACAGGCCACCTGATCTCTGCCCAGGCCTAATGCATGTATACCACTCCCCATGGCTTCTGGGTAGCTGTCCAGCTTCTGAGCATGCCCTCTCCACATAATCTAGGTCCACCCACCTTCTGTTCTTCCACAGTAGAACAGCCAAAGAAGCATTCTGCCCCTAACTGTGGTTTGTGAAGCCAGACATCAAGGTCAACCCAAGAGGTCCAATTGTGGTTTGCAAAAACTCGATCTAACTGGGCTTTGGAATGAGACAGTCTTATGGGTCGGGAACTGACATTGGTTCAGACACAGGAACCATCTGCCCCCAACCTGAAGCAATGCCCAAAGTCAGGTCTGGTATTTCCGACTTGCCTTCAGCTCCTGGTTCAAATTGAAGGCTTAAGCAGCTGAGGGGGAAAAGGAAAGGGCCTGAGGTTAGAAATGGTGGGAGTTGACTTCCAAAACACCTGGAGGGGCCAAGTTTGCCCATGTCTAACCCTTTCCAACCCTCTGCCATGCAGGAAAAGCACAATCAAGCTCCCCCTGACTGTTCAGAAGCACTTGTGAGTTGGAAACTTCAGCTCCTGATCTCTCACATATGAACACATTTTTTGAAATGGGGAGGGCAAATCCGCATTTGGTCAGCACATGTTCCAATCCAGTTAGATTGGGAGCATTTTATTGCGTAGCCCCATGCTGTCGTGTCACCTGATAAAAGCAACTGAGTGGTGGGGTTTTTATTTTTTTTCCTAATCAACAAAACGAAGACGTAGTGAACTATAAAATTGCTAATTATTTTCTAGTAAATTTGCTCCAGAATAAGTTGAGACACCAATTACAGGCGCCATTAGGCACCATTAGCAGAGGGCGTTGCCGAGGCGGGCAGCAAAGAAAGGAAGGAAGGAAAGCAAGTAAAAAAGGGGGGACTCTGGGGCTGAGACGTTGTGTTCAGAAAAACATCTCATTCTTCATCCCCAACAAACCCTCCGCCAGATGCTTAAAGAGTCATCAAATCATCACTTAAAGAGCAAATTATGACAGAGACTTTGTTTTCTTTCTCTGGAAGGAAGAAATGACATCTGAGCTCATTGAGACAGGAAGCAGACCCACTTCTCAGAGCAAATATCATCAGTTACATTGAAAGCTTCATTGGGAAGAAGAGCATTTGCAGCTGTGCAAAGGGTTGCCCAACAAGGCCAAAAGAAAGAGGAAGAAATACTTCTGCTTGGCTTCAATGGTATTGAGAGAGGACTAAGGGCCATGGCTCTTGGATCTCAGAATCCAGGCAAGGCCAGTTCAAGACCCATGGCCCTTTGGATGCGCTTGGATCCCAGAATCCCCAACAAGGCCAATATGTGCTCCTCCATTCCATTATTATGCCTCTTTTCTCCTGAAGTACTATGAAGTAACCTTGTAGAAGAGCAGACGCTTTTGAGGCATTACTATTATTATTATATCCAGCCATCATCATCATCATCAGTATTATTATTAGATACACAACAGAATTTGTACACAGCAAACAAGATCACTATGCTGGCTATTGTATTGGATCACACACTGGGCACTTTCTAAGTGTCTAGGACTATGTGATGTACTAGTGACTAATGTGTGTAGATCTGAGTAGGGTGGCCTTTTGCAGCTAACAGATGGTGATTTTGTCAGCGCCGATTGTTTTCAAGTGTTGGCCAAGGTGTTTAGGCACTGCACCAGTATGCCGATCACTACTGGGACCACCTTTACTGGCATGTGCCAGAGTCTTTTCAGTTTGATCTTTAAAACCTTATTATTATTATTATTATTAGTAGTAGTAGTAGTAGTAGTAGTAGTAAATTATTATTATTATTATTATTGTTATTATTATTATTGAGCCCCTGGTGGCACAATGGGTTAGACCCTTGTGCTGGCAGGACTGAAGACCGACAGGTTGGAGGTTCAAATCTGGGGAGAGCACAGATGTGCTCCCTCTGTCTGCTCCAGTTCCTTATGTGGGGACATGAGAGAAGCCTCCTACAAAGATGATAAAACATCAAAAACATCCAGGTGTCCCCTGGGCAATATCCTTTCAGGCGGCCAATTATCTCACCCTAGAAGTGACTTGCAGTTTCTCAAGTCGCTTCTGACACGCAAAAATTATTATTATTATTATTATTATTATTATTATTATTATTATTAATGATTAATAACAATTGTTATTATGCATGGCTGGGCATTGGACTAGATGGCCAATGTGTTTGCTTCCTACCCTATGATTCTATCGTCGTCATCATAATCATTTCTATCCTACCTTTCTCCTCATAGGGACTCAAATAACTAATAGGACATCCAATAGGACAACTGATCATCCTGGCAAGGAGAGGCCAGGATTCTGGGATCTGCAGTCTAGGAAACTACCTTCACAAAGCTCTGGCTGGGTGAGAGGCACAGATCTCTTCCCCTGATGCTGTTAGCTCTTGAAATGAACAAATCTGATTTTATGTAAAACACCCTATCCATTTGCACTCGCTCCCTCCCCACCCCCAGGAGACACTTTTTGGCACAAGCTAATTCCAGTTCAGTCTTTCCCCTTTTTTTAATATATAAAAAATATGTTATGGAACAGTGATTCTCTTGAATTAATTAACTTGCAGCTCTTGGTTGATGCAGCTTCCCTGCAGATGTTACTTTCTGGAGGTGAAACGTTTCCGCAGAAAGCTGCAAATGCAAAGCGGGAGGCCTCCGCTCAGGACCCCACCCCCCTTGCCTGCCTTGTGAGGCCACACTCCACAATGATCCCTGTCATTGTGTGTGTGTTTGTGTGTTTCTCCTGAAAAGGGCTTTAATCTGTCAGGGTTGCTTTGATTGTGCTTTTCCTGGATGGCAGGGGGTTGGACTAGGTGGCCCATGTGGTCTCTTCCAACTCTTTTATTCTATGATTCTATTATGTTTAATGCCCTGTGGACCCTCTTTCCCTTGCCACCTCTCCCCTGCCCAGTGTGAGCTGATCATCCACATCTCTGCAGTTCCATCAGTGAAGGCTATACTGCCAACATCTCTAGCGACCAAGGTGGGATGGACTAGATGACCTTTGTGGTCGGTCCCTTCCCAGAATAAATCATTTCAAGGAGAGGGCAAATAGGCACCTTGGGAGTCTCAAGGGACAGTCACTACACTCA